CAACAACGTGCTTTTCAACGAGTCGCAGCTTTCGTTTGACGAGATCAAGTCGAACGTGTTTGTCGCGAGCGAGGACGGCGATATCGTCGACATGCCGTCGTCGACACCGCCCGCTCCTGTTGCGAGCAGCGCGCCTTGCACTGTTTTTGCCACGGCTCTCGCACTGGTTGCCGTCGTGTTGGCTGTGGAGGGTGTGGGTCTCGTCTAGATGAACGTCCATTCGTGTAATTGCCGAAGCATGCATAGACAATTCTTGTACACTCGGGTTGGATGGGGCTGCTCGGAAAAACATGGCCCCATGTCCCATTTGACGCTACAGCACGGGTGAAGATAGTTAGGCAAGACCGTTTGGAACCTCGATCATGTTTGGCACGAGCCTGGTTCGCCGACTCGGTGTAGGCGGTGGCCCAGCGCGATGGCGGCGAGGGTGGCTGTGACGTGATCATGATGCAGTAAACTTTGTGCACGAGCTGAAATTCTTGCAGTGTATGGACACACATGTCGACCCGACCGTGGTGTGCATTGGGCAAACTGTTGCGCCGTGCCAAGCAACGCCTTCTTGACACCCCCACTCAACACCCACCTCCTGCGGTCCGGTTCGCAGATGGCTATTCTGCACAGGATCATCTTGTGGACAACAATCGACCGAGCTCGTGCGCGATGTGCAGCCACCGTCCGCTTCGCGGCTCGGTCTTTGACGTCAAGTTGTGGCTGTTGTCCCAGCATCCGGAGCACGAAGATAGATGTCCACGGCCCCGGATCGGACTCCTGTTGAGTAACGTGATGTCCAACTCAGGAAGAAGGACCAAGCGGTTGTCATGTCGTCGCCTCGCTCTGTCGAGTACTCAAACAATGAGCAGTCGATGGCGACGTGGCCAGAATTACCACGCACGCCGTCCAGTGTGGGGATAAATGGGCGTGCATGCACGTTCGCAGGAAGGGGTTTCGGTGACTTGAAGGCGGCAGTCGTGATCGAGACAACGTCAAGGGAGATGGTCCTTGTTGTGCCCAGCGGAGCGGCAAGCAACGGGGTAGTCTCCATCGTGGCCCTCACCTTAACACGAAGCGTACACACGAACAATTCACGGCGAAGTGGGTGATTACGCCAAGCTTGGTGTGATTGTCGCCCTTTGGATGAGGGCTGGTCTGGGACCATGTGGACTGGCCCCACGCCGCTGTCCTCCAAGTACTGCTACCGTTGTGGTGGCCCTGCGGGTTGACTACTGAGTCGAACAGGTCGGACCACGATGCAGAAGGATGTTTTAAGTTTGACTGCTATCGTCGATGGGAAGATGGCTCCTTGACAATCGCTCCACGACTGTTTCTAGCTAGCTTCTCTTGATGCAGGTACACCACCACGGCACTGCTCACAGGGACGTTTCAACTGCGGGGGGTGTCCACCGTGCGTTCCATGACATGAGCATAGGAATGCCCGTCGCCAGCAGGAGTACACACAGGGAACATGCGTTCTGTACCAGCGGAGTTGGTCTCTCGATTGTCGGTCGAATGACAAGGTGTCTATATCGACAAAGTCGCAACAACCACGATGAGAGCAAGGAGGATGCCATCCCTGCATGCGACAGCAGCAGTGGGCTCGTCCACTTGACTCGATATCATGCATCCTTATGACTCCATCATTCACGCCCGCATCACATGCACGTGTGGACTTCTGCGGCGGCAGTTCTCGGCGTGTGGCGGCGAAAGGTCGTCTGTCTTCGGTGGAACGATCGCCGTTCAGCGTTCAAATTCTGCAAATTCAAAACATTGCAAGTCCGCTCCCCATACGTTATTCTATATGAAATCGATTCCATCTCATATAAAAATATCCAACCCGTTCTCTAGTTTAAATTGTCCCAGATTTCAAAAAAATAATGCCTTTTGATTGGGTGGAGTGGTGTTGGACACCTGAAGGAACGAGCGCATGCCGCCAGAGCACCTGGGAACGCACGAGTAGTCTTGCCTAGAATTGCCACGACCGTCCCACCTGTAACAATTCATTTCCCGATCGCTCACACATCGACCATGAAACACCTTGTCCTGGTCTTTCTGCTCGTTGTCGCGGCTCTTGTTGCCCCCCACACAGATACCCAGACCGTCGTTGAACATTCGAGCAGCTCGTGGTCCCAATACTTTCGTCGTCTCGTCGGCCAAGTGGCCGCCATGGGTGGTAGAGGTGGCAGGCCGGGTGGAGGTGGTGGCGCTAGGCCGGTTCCAGCGCCTCGACCGGCCCCTGCACCTCGACCTGCACCGGCTCCAGCACCTCGACCTGCACCCGCTCCAGCACCTCGACCTGCACCAGCTCCTGCCCCGCGGCCTCCAGCTGGGCCGGTGCCTCGCCCTGCCGTCGCTCCTTCTCAAGTCCCGTACCGCCCAGTCACACCAGTCTCGTACGTCCGACCTGCCGTGGCGCGTCCTGTTGTGGTCGCACCGATCGGATACACATACTACCCCGTGTATGTCTACCCCGTCGCCGTGTGGCGCCCATACATTTACATCTCGCCGGTGTTTTGGGCCACCAACACGTGCTACCAAAACTACTGCTACCTCAACTACCAGCGCTGCCTGGCTGTGTACGGCGATGGGTGCTACTGCTACCCGGGGCTGCTGAGCTGCCTGCGGTCGTTCTGCTATTCGTACTACCAGCCAGTGTACGACCAGTGCAACCAAGCGTTGAGCCAGCCGAGCCGGTGTGTGTTGTCGTGCCGGCCCGCCGCGTACCCGCTGACGCCGGAGCAAGCGGCGCTGCCCGTGCCGACGAACGGGGTAAACACATCCGTGGCGGTGACGACGTTGGTGCCAACGATTGCGGCCGAGATCAAGTTTTCGGTGGTCGCGGTGGTACTGATCCAAGGCGCCAACACGACGAGTCTGTCCGGGGGCGAGTACGACTTTGCCACGGCCGTGGCGTCGTCGCTGTCGCCCGTCAAGTCGGCGTCGGTCCAGCGCGACAACGTGACCCTGCAGGCGCGAGACGTGCTCATCAACTCGACGGCGTTCGTCGAGGTCACGATCGGGGTCGCGCTGCCGTCCCTGGACGCGATGAACGCGACGGACACGCTGTTCCAAGACATGGCGTACGGCAACGTCACCGACAAGAACCTGACGCTGGGGCACACGCTCGTCGTCAACAACGTGCTTTTCAACGAGTCGCAGCTTTCGTTTGACGAGATCAAGTCGAACGTGTTTGTCGCGAGCGAGGACGGCGATATCGTCGACCCACCCGGTCCTGTTGCGAGCAGCGCGGTCTGTGCTGCTGCTACGTTCTCGATTGGAATCGTGGCTATCGTGGTCGCCACCCTTTAAATTAAGACACAATCACGTCGCGCATTCGTCTCGACATCAATTTCCTTCGACTCTTCCACCGACATAGCTGCTCCTCCCTCGACTTCTTGCAATGTTAGCATTGCCAAGTCGATTGCTGTATTGCGTGAAGTGGAGAACATTGCAGCAGCGGTCGACAAGTCTTGTGTCCGGGCATGCATGATTCATGCAAAGCAGTTGTGTCGCCGCGCCGGACAGAAACTCAAGGCAGCGGCAAGGGAAACATGGCTGGCGTCAACGTGATCGTGTTCTTCACGACCACCCCTCACGTTCTCCGTCACGGCGAGCTTCATGTCCGCGTACCCGCCGACTAGTGCGACCGCACAGCAGGAGAACGAACTGCGTGCTGGACCAAGTAGTGTGTACAGGCTTCAAGGTCCTCCGCTTGCAAATGCTGACATGGCCAGCAACCGCATGGGGTGCTTGGGGGCTACGCTTCACCGTAATGCGCGCGTCTGGAGCTGTAATGGGTTGAGATGCAATGCGGACGAAGCACCACGGTGCGACCAGCCCAGCACGGCCCATGGGAGTTTCGGTAGGGCGACTTGATCATGGATGCATGTCGTCCATTTAGTCAATTTGATTGGTTGAAATAAGGCCTTGATCGCGGATATAATTGGCTATAATTTGGAATATACCCCGAGTTTCTAACATAAAGCCTTTTGATTGGCTCCTTGAGAAATTCCGATTCTCAACCTCGGGGCCGAATTCAAGCCTCAACGGAGGCGCTGTTTGCGTGACAATCAAATCCCTCCGGCAACCGACATCACCACCGCACGCGAGGAAGAATGAGCGCGAGCCGGTCGACGTCAACGGGACGCTTTGAGCTGCATGTCCTGTCGGACTTGACCCACTTGGCGATCTCACAGAAAGGAAACGAACAGTGTCTTCTCGTGAATCGAAACGCGGCGAACACGACGTCCGGCGTCGTGCTCGAAGACGTGTCGGAACTCAACCACGCGCACGGGCGGAGCCTCAAGTTTGACGCGATTTTTGGCATCTACACACTGCTGAGGGGGAAATATCTGGCGCTTGTGACCGAGTCGCGGTCTGTGGGAAAGTTCAAGGTACGCGGTGCCGACGTGGACATCCGACAAGTGACTGGGATCGAAATGGTGCTGTTACCGACGCAACAACTCCCCCATCTCACGCCGACGCAAATGGAGGACGAAGAACGGTACGACTTCCCATCGTCCGTCGCCACCAATGCCATCATGACGATGATTCCTCAAGGTACATGGCCATGATCACGAACGACGTCGAAGCGCAACTGCTCTACTTTGCGTTCGACTACGACCTAACACACACGTTGCAACGCATGACAACGTCGCTGTCCCCGACTGTGTCCATCGCAGAGCGCGCCGACCCCCGCTTTTGCTGGAACTACCCTGCATGCTCGTTCTTGTTGGAGAAGAAGCTCTTTGCATGGGTCGTCCCCATCATGCAAGGCTATGTTGAAGTGTGCAAGAATGTATCCATCGGGGCGAACAAAACGTTCGACATCCTTTACATCTCCCGTCGGTCATGTCGCCGTCAGGGTACTCGGTTCACCATGCGTGGCATCGACAGCGTACGTCTTGTTCCACGATTTGTGGTCGACAATCGTCGATGGCATCGTATGCATGGACCCTGAGCGCAGAATGCTTTGTTGTCGTGTGCGATGTTTGCACGTGGTGGTGGTCTTGACCATGGTCGAAACTAGCCCATGTCCATGCGCTCGAGGCCATTCCACCGATGGATTCACGTCAGGACGTTGTGAAGCGTTCTTCGATTTACCACTGAGATATGCGCATCGCATGGCATGCATGGTGGTCTTTTGTGTGAATGCTATGCCTTTCCGAGGTCCAGACCTCTCATGTCGTCGTGGATGTTCTAGGAAGGTAACGTCGCCAACTTTGTCGAGACGGAACAGGCGCTTTTGTTCCCTGACGGCCGCGAGACCTCGTTTGTCCAGGTACAGCCCTCACAAGGCGCGCGACACATTTGCTGCGCACATCTCCAACTACTTGGCAAGACGTGATAGCGCTGGCCAAAGCTGGAGCGCACACGCCATCCCTTGGTTGCTGACATGTGGGAGTTTGCGTAGATTCGCGGGAGCATACCAGTTGTGTGGAGCTCGCCTGTTACACTCAAGTACGCGCCCAAGGTGTACCAGCGCCAGGAGCTTGAAAAGGACACGGCGGCATTTCAATTGCACGCCGAGGAATTGATGAAGCTGTACGGCCGAGTTATCCTCGTCAACTTGATCGACAAAAAGACGGAGCAGCTCAAGCTCGGCGAAGCGTTTGAGAAAACGTTTGCGAATGCGTCGGCGCTCAACACGCACATCCTGGCCAACATTCGGTGTGTGCCGGCGCGGCGATTTCGCTGACACATTCCCCGTAGCTACGTCTGGTTTGACTTTCATCGGGAATGCCGCCGCATGCAATACTCCAAGTTGGGCAATTTAATCTCTCAAGTCGACGACGACTTTCAAGATTACGGGTACGTGGACAAGTGTGCGCGGGGGACTCGAGTTCCGTCGCCATACGAGGACGGGTGCATGCTCGTGGCGCGCGGTGCGCGACGGACTCGGCGTCGAAGCCGCCCGCGCGATGGGTTATGCGTATTCTTGTCGATTTGTTTGACGGTCTAGTGTACAAATGGCCAACTTGATGGTGGTCGGTCCTGTTTGGTTGTAGGTATTTTTCCAAGTCAGCCACGGGGCAAGTCACGAGCACGCAATCGGGGGTTGTGCGCACAAACTGCATGGACAATCTCGACCGCACCAACGTCGTCCAGGTGGGGGATGTGCCTTAACCTAGCGCGACCAGACACCATCAAGCGATGCGTACGTAGTCGCTGTTTGCGCGTCGAAGTTTGCTGCTTCAAGTCGGCGAGTCCGTGCAAGGGAACGTGCTGACATCGCCGTTCGACTCGTTTGAAAAAACATTCAAGAACGTGTGGGGCAACAACGCCGACGCGATCAGCTTCTTGTATGCAGGCACGGGCGCCCTCAAGACGGACTTTACACGGTGCGCCACGACTGGACGCGATACTTTATTGCCTGGACTGCATGGAACGACGCGTTTTGTTTGCCAACCTGGTGTGGGTCATGCCGCCTAACCGTCCGATAGCACCGGCAAACGCACGACGCGCGGCGCGCTCCAAGATGGGTACAACTCGGTCTTGCGGTACATCCTCAACAACTTTTACGACGGCCACCGCCAAGACGCGATGGATTTGCTCTTACTGCGCTACGTTCCATCTCGGCACAAGGGATCGCCGTTCGTCGCGGCGTCGTCGTTGGTATGCAAACTCTGTCTCTTGATTGTGACGGGCATGTTGTTGGCTGCTCACAACGACGTCTAGCAAACGTATTTGATTGGGTTGGTCGGGACAACACTCGTCCTGTTCACGGGCCTCATTGTGTGGGACGGGCTAGAGCTCACGCACTTGTTCAATCGGCTCTTGCATGCCACTGGCACGGTCGTCGCAGCGCTCGCGTTCACGTTTGGGTACTTTGTTCGCAGAGGGACCAAACTGGCGATTGCAAACCGACCCGCGTTCCGCCCCGAAGACGGCTGCACAACATCGTGGAAGTAGACGTCTTGCCTGGCGCTTCGTTCGCTTCGGCAAGATGCACAGCTGCGCTCCATCGCGCTACCTCATGCGGTCACTGGTGCTCGTGTGTGCACGATCGGACAAACTAACGTAAACACCTGCCATATTTGTGTCAATTCGCGACGTCATTTTGCGCATGTCGAGCGAGACCACGGGGTTGCTAGCATCCTTCGGCGCCAGTACTCCAATTAACACGTCATTCAATTGTCGGCATGTATCGCCGTCGAACGGGATGCTCTCACCGTCCAAGGACACCACAGGAGCCGTGCTTCGTCGTCGGCGCGCGACAAGTACAGGAATCGTTCAATGCCAATAGCCCAGCCACGTCCACGTCATAGAAGTAGGTTTTGCAAGAGCTGACGGATCTTTGCAATGGGGGTAGCTTCGCCAAAATGCAACAAACTGCACGCTCCCATCAATGTTCCCATGGGACGAACGCGTCCGACATGGTCATCCTTGCCAGCGCACTCGACTCTATCATACCTCGTCCGTGCATCTCGACGATTGAATCATGCATCGAAGTGAGCTACCTCGACGGACTCTGCGCATCGTGATTGCCGTGCCGAGCGATCTTTGGAAAATGGTGTTTGAAACACGATATTAAACGAATTTGTGTTTAAAACTTGATGCAAAAAAACGACACGCTATTGTGCGGCGAGCGTCAGTTTAGCTTTCGTGTACTCTTTAGTCCAGCCATCATGCTCGCTGTCCGCCGTGCTGCTGCCCGTGTCCAAGTGTCTGCGTTCTCCGCCGCCGTGCCTTCCCGTTCCTTCTCGGACAAGTTTGCCGACAAGGAGCGTGCCGAAGAAGCTCGTTACTTCAAGTACGTGTCTTTGGTGCTGCCTGCGCGACAAGAGATGGACTGACATTGCCTGTTGTTTGTAGCAAGGAAGATGAACGTGCCCTCCGCAAGTTGCTCGCCAAGTTGAAGGGCCAAGCCGATGCTGCCGATGCTGCCGGTGCCCAAACCCAAGAATCGATTGAAAAGAAGGAATTGGCCCAAATCCTTGGCGCCAACGCATCCCCTGCCACGATTGACGCTTTGATCAAGTGGAAGCACCACCACCATTAATCCACTTCTCCATCCAAAACAGCAAGGCTCAACCTAACCACCGTTAAAAATGTGTCCATTCAATCGAGTTATCGTCCAAGATGTGGTGCAGACGTTCTCGAACCGCGTTAGCGCTTCTTCTTCTAGGACGCCATTGAAGGGCCTGATATGTCGGGCAGGTACATGCATGAGCAATACCCATGACATGTATGTCCGACGCTTATTTCACCGTCGCTACGTCCTGCATCGTTCTCAACATTTCGCCGTGCGGTGGACGGACGGTCCTTCGAGCGGCCTAATTATAGCACGTCGCATTACATTGCCACGCGCCATCTCCACTTCCTCCATGGTTTATGGTCGCAGCGAATATCCAAACTTGCAAGCCGAGCTGAGGCTGCGGAACGCCCCTGCGACGCTCCTTACCTCATTGACTCGCAAAGGCACTGCCTCAACCGCGTTCAGGACCCGTCAAACGCACCGCAGACTGCCACCCCGTCTCCGCGACGCTGCAGATTTAGGCTTACCATCCAACAACGATGCTGCATCCAACTTGTCACGGGGGAATCTCTCCGCACTTGAAAAAGGCGACGATGACGACAGCTGCGACAACAGCGACGACGACGCCACCAGCCAAGTCCACGACGACATGGCTCATATGGACGATATCCTCCTGGCCACGCAGTCCCATCATCATGACGAATTGTCGGTAGCACGTACAGCAGCTTTGTCACCACATGCAGCCTCGACTGTGCCACCACGACTGCACGAGTCGAACAGCTGCACTCTCGCCAACGCCAGAGAGAAGGCGTTGAAAGGATCGTCATGTCTAAGCCATAGCCAATCCGAACCAACGTTGCCGTCCAGGTTCGTGGTTTGTTGTCCAAGGCATGGCCATGACCAATACGTTGCTGCAGATGCCTCGACCACCGCACGAACGTCAGCAATGCTACCCCTGTCATGATCCTGTAATTCCTTTCACTGTCAACTCGTCGATAGCGAGGCAGATCATTCATGCAGCCCTCACTGAAAGATGGACTTCGTAGTGGCCACGGTCGGCTACGCGTGCGGTATGCCCGACGAAAGTGCTCGTCCAATCCTTCCCAACTGCGACGACTCCCAGCGTTCCTACCTGCCGCGGCTGCTGTGATTCCTCCCCTAGAAGAAGACAACGAGACCGGTTTCTTCCTCACCGAGATGGACCTCGACAGCGCGTACGTTCCTCTGGCGAAAGGCCTCGCCCTCGGCGCGTATCAGCTGTACGGCCAATGCCACATCGACGCCGCCCTGACCACGTTTCGCAGTGTACGAATACGCCTCGATCACAGCGCGTGATGTCATAGCCCGCTCTCACTCCTTGATGCGGTAGGTGCTGCGCGCGGCAGAGGAGTTGGACGACATTGTGCTGCAAGCCCTCGTGTGCCACCACATGGGGACTGCGGAAAAGGATGCAGGTGACCTGTCGGCGTCCCGTGCGAGTCACACAAAGTGCATTCAACTTGCGCAGTCGGTGCATCACGCCAAGTTACAAGGCCGAGGGTTCAAAGGTACTGTCATGCTCCTCTCCACCAACGGTCACACCCTTGTCCACACTCCTAACTCCTTCGTGGTGGCCAGGCCTTGGCGTTGTCTGTGTGTCGTCCCAGCAATACTCCGCCGCGTACGACTACCATGTTAAGTGTATGGTGATCGCAACGTCCGAGAGTGACCACGAGCTCGCGTCACGGACGCATGCGAATCTTGGCAACGTGTTTGCCGCAAAACGGCAATACGTGGATGCCATTGCGAGCCACACGAACGACCTGAGTTTGAGCACACAGCTCGATTCATACGTTGGCATGGCCCGCGCCCACCGCAACCTCGCCCTCGTGTATGCCAAAATGAACGATGTGGCACAGCAACGGCACCATGAGGCTGAGGCTGCCGCGAAAGGCCCCATGCCATTCCTTCACGATATGACACACCACGCCCATGACGTCGTGGGCAATCTTTACTGCCAAGCTACGGTGGGGACAGCGATGGCTAAAGTCGCCGGCCAGTTCATCGAGGAGCTCGTCCGAGATCTGAAGTGACCTTGGGCGACGCCCCCTCCCTCGCTTGAATAGCCCATGCAGTCGACTCGCCTCGAAACAAGAGCGACGCACACCCACTCCACCAGTGCGCCATCGCCACGCGCAGATGTTGAATCTAACCACGTAACGAGAAGACGTGCATTGATCAGTCGTGGCCGTGCCACTAGATCCATGTTGTGTTCAGAGCGCCAATGCCGCCTCCTCCTGCATGTGTTCTCACCCATCATGCGCGTTACCGCCGTCACGCGACAAGGTCCATGTGGCGGCCTCCTCCAGAGAAACTGACCGTGGCGAATCCGAAGCCAATGCATTAATATTTCGAGTTGTCGTTTATATTTTCAAGAATATATATATAATATACTGTAAAGCGCTAAATATTCTTGATGTTGTATACAACATCTATCTCAACTCGATCCATAATCTATCAAGATACTACAATACAGTATCCGAAATTGAGAAAATGACGCACAAAACACGTTCAAATTTTGCTTGTTTTACGAACTTTGTCGTGACTAGTTCAAAATTTCACAATATTCGAAATAAAAGATAAATGTGGTATTTTCATACAAATATGCAGAGGCTGGTCCCTGAGTAGGCTGTGCGGGCGACATGACGACTGTCTTTGATTGAGAAATTGCTCGTAACACTCTTTCTTCGCATACATTGGCAGTAGGCTTCAGCACCACGCGAGGATTGGTATGTTGGAGCGCCACGGACTGCCACGCGAGGTCGTTCCTTCGCCACGAACAGTCGCTCGTGCGTCAAAATTCGGGTGCAATGACTACGTGCCTGTCGAGTCATAGAATGGAGAGGGCTACATGCATCGATCGAGGCAAGCGTGGTCGCATTTCACACTAGTGTGGCGTCGACGGCTCGGGGCTTTACGACTTGCCTGCCGTTCGTCGCATGCGAGCATGCAAAGGTGGGGCGGCGGTCGAGTTGTTACAGCAAGCACCAACATTCCGTCAAACGACTTGGGGTTTCTATGACATACGTTCTCAATCGTGTGCACTTTGCCATTTGGTGGCATTGGCGTCCTCCATCGCATCCTTTGCTAGGTGTTTGAAAGTTCTGGAGCTGGCAGTTGGGCCGTCGCGTCGGCCATTTTGATATTCGACACCGACCATGCAGCGGAGCAACTCGTTGACGGACGCGACACCGCCATCCAGAGCCAGCCCGTGGCGAAGGTACAGCACGCCATTGCCGGAACCAGTGGGGAATGATGGGATCGACCCGGATGCTCTCCAAGGGCGATGCCGAAGCCTCACGCAAGAACGAGACTTGCTCCGCGAACGGCTCTTGGAAAAAGCCATGCGAGAGGCCGAGCACGAAATGATGATCCAGGGACTGCAAGACCAACTTGCGAAACTCACCGTGCTGTCTGTGAAGCGCCAGAGTCGATACGAAGAGCTTCTGCAAGCGTACCAGGAGTTCAAGAAAGCCGCCATGTCAGAAATTCATGACGACGTGTGACGGCGGACCCAATCATCCCGCGGAGCTCCTTCACCACGATGATTCACAGCGATCCGCATCTTGCTTCATGTAGTCTTAAGTGTCGTTGAACTATGTCTAGTCCATCCAGTCGCGTTCTGTCCGTTGTGTCATTCCAACACCGCGGCCCACACGTGGAAAGAATGGTCGTAGAAGGACGCGCTACCGACAATTTGGCGCTTCGACTGGAGTGTCTGTGGGTGGTACCACCAATCCACGCCGTACGCTAGCGATGTTTGCCGGGTGTACTGCGCTCGACACTGGACTGTTCCATCCGTGCTGGCCTGTGGCAGCGCCACGTCAAGGATCTGAAACCCATTGTGCATGCATGCCGCGAGCAGCAGCGACTGTCGACAATCGTTAGGTCCGTCCACAAGATGAACTCGACGGGTGTCGGCTTACCTCGTGCGTTGGATGCCATTTCAGCCGCCACACGCCGCCACCCGTGCCGTACTGCAGGACCGGGCGCTACCACAAGCCTCGTGTGAATGCACGATGTTGTCGATCGAGTGACCTTTCGTACTTTGAACGACCGTGTGTCCCATATCGAAATCGATTCGTCGTAGCTCCCCACTGCCAAGACGTGGTCGTTGTGCGGATGCGTTTGCATGCTGCACACGCCCATCGTGTGCACGTTTCGAAGTCCAAACGTCGGGCGGGCGACGGACCGCATGTCCCACCTGCATCACATCCAAACAAATGCAATGGACCGTGAACACCAACGAGGACAAGTCACTCACAACAACGTACCCCTTGAACGCGGCATCGTCGCCGCCAGTGTACAACACGTTCAGGTCGTGGGAGTTCCACGCGGTGATCCAAACCTCAATTTCACTTCCAAACAAGTCGTGCGCGCGCCACTACAGCATACGCACTCGCGTGAGTCTGAAAGAAGTACCAAAGACCCGAATGGAGTCAACCGTACGTCCTCGACAAGGTCGAGAGCACCTTCGCCGTACTGCCATACCGACACTCGCCTATGCATGGAAATAATGAACGACCGCAAGAGTATAGGTCGCAGGGACGCCGATCGCTGCTTTACCCGTTTGACTGGCTCACAGCCACCTGGGGACTTGTGGCCGATATTACACGATTGTTCCAGTCCTACACCACAAATGACTTGACTAACACGCCAGTCATGACAGGTACCTTAAACGTACCAAAGATAAGAACATCGTGTCGGTCGGGTCGGTCGACGCCAAACGGGCCAGCTCCTGGGACTCCTACGTTGTGCACAGGATGAGGTTTGATGAAGGCAACTTCTTGCCGGAGAACCTCGTGGAGCTCCATGATATCCAGCGTTCCAGCCGCCGTCGCAAGTCCCAGAAGCGCCTTGTTGTTTACGCGTGGAAATGACCATTTCATGTCAAACACCCCGCTCTGCATCTCGACCAACGACTTGTTGACCATGGCGACTGCTCCATCGCTGTCGGTGGATGTCGACAACGAATGCAGCGCAACGGTGCCGCTTCGCGTGTCCGCTGCGTCATCGTGTTTAGTCAGTTGATACGTTCCCACGGCCATGATGTTCTCATGGCCTTCGACCGGACAGCTCTCGATGCAGTCGGCGTGGAGCCCCGTGTCGCGGACTTGCAGCGTCGTTGCCATCCGTGGTTGTACCGAGTCATGTTATCCGTATACGCTCTACAAATCTCGATTTGGATTGGTGGCTGTCGACAGATTATCCGGATTCCACCGCTTCAACTTCGACATCCACGTCAAAGCACGTAGTGTACTCTTCGCCGACGTCGTAAATGCGATTGAAGGCCCAGAACCAGACGAGCGAGATGCGCTGCGGCTTGTCCACCGCGGGTAACTGGAAGGAACCTTCACATGGCTTGCCTTCGCGGGGCCGCTTGGAACCCACTTGGCCACACAGCCCGTCGTCAAATGGGCCTTTGCCAACTACAGTCACTGCACCGCGAACGGTCGAGTGCGACGCATTCCAGACCTTGGGCAAGTTGAAGCGGTGCAGTGCATATGAAGGCGTCCGATTCCACAAGATGTACCATGTCGAGGTCACGGGGTATTGTCCGTCGCAGCCACGCGGATCCTTGGGTAGACACTTGTCGTGCGTGACATGGCCGTTCGAGTTGTAGCGGAAATGCACCGTCGCATTGGGCGAACAAGTCAGTCGGGGGTATTTCTCCGCTTGTACGGGAGTGCTCTGCGTCGGGGAACAGAGGGCTTGGACCCCTTTGTAGTTTTCAATCCTGTACGTCATGAGGCGATCAAAGTCGGGGCTCTTCGGTGGCAGGTCCGTACGGTTGCGGTAGTTGCGAGGGTAGCCCAGCGTGCCGGGGGAGCACCACAGCGCATCGATCCACGAGTGGCTTTCTGCTGGCTGCGTATAAACCAGTAGCGTAACCACACACCCGATGACTGCGAGGACAGGCATTTTCGATTGTGATTTCGATTGCCACCGGCGAATGGCAGAAAACCATGCGGCGCAGAAGGCATGGAGCGTAAAAACGACCATGTCCCAGACCATGAGCCACTGCAAGTAAAAAGCGTTGTTACTTGGACTCAAGCTGGTGAGAATTTGACGAGTACCTCTCCACCAAAGGTACACACCTGTAAACGCCGCCACTCTCCTGCTTATGTAAACTATTGCGCAGCACATTTGCTCGCTTGGCTGCGGCACAACGTGGCCATGTTCGTGCTGCGCATTGTTTTGCATGGCGCTGTCGTTGGAGCCAACGAAACCCGACCTGACTTGAATAAACGACACGATACCCATGTTAAGCTAGACTTTGAGTGCTGAAAACAACTCCGTCTCTGGAGGGTCGAGTTAGAACTCTTCGAGTAAGAGCGACGCGTATGTTCGGCACTCGTTCAGGTCATCATGCAGCAGGTCGTGGACAATGTCTTGGCCGTTGTTCTTCTTGCACCGAGCGAGGTTGGCGGGATGGCCAATCGCGCTGCTGTGGAGGGCCATGATAGCGTTGCGACGCACGTCCTGCGGCCACGGCATTCCACAGTCAAGGACGGCATGAAAAAGTCATAGCTTGAGCTACGTACGTCTTCTGGGGACAGCACAAGCTTGAGCAAGAGACCGATCGCACCAGCATCCCCAACCAAATCCTGCCACCGAATCATTCGCGCATGACTTTCCAAGCGATGGAGATGTGTCAGGTCGGATTTACTTGGCTAAGAACATTCAAGTGCACACCGTGGCTAAGTGCCCATGCCGAACTCTCGTTGGTCTATGCACGACATTTCAAAAGTGTGATAAATTGCGATCCCACGTACGTCTGGAGCGTACGATGACGACAAGAGGAGAACGAGATCGGGTAACCCGCCAACCTATGCAATGGCCCGTGTTCAACGAGGTCTAATTCACGGCGACGTGGGGTGGTGCAGGAGCTACCTCTCGCAATTGGTTCTGCGCCATCACATCACGAGTAGACAGGACGTTGCCGATGGTGAGCGCCGCCGCGCTTCGAAGCGACTCGCCTGGAGCCACACAAATGCGCGGTCATCTTGGCAGGTGACGACAAGTATTTCAAAGGAAGGGTGATACCTCGTCCTGCTTGCAGCAGCTCTGTCAAGACCTGCATGCAGTTAGTTTCTTCCAAGAGGCTGCGAGATGCGTCTGGCACAGCGCTTGCGTTGCCTGTGTCAACAAAGTTTAGTTACCCGCCGATTGATGATGTTGAAGTTTTGCTGGTCAACCAATATAGCCAAGCAGCGCACGCTGGATGCCTTCGTGTGCATTCTCGGCTTCGAGAGCTTCCACAACTCGCGACAGGATCGTGCTCTCGAGCGCTAGGTTGTGCGACGTCAAGTTGGTCAAAGCGAGCGTGGCTGCTGCCTGGATGCGAATGTCGGGGGATTGCAGTTGGCCGGACACGGCGAGGGCCACATCAGGCGCAGAGAAGATCGAGGGCAGCTGAGTTGGCACGTCCGAGTTGGCACACAGTTTTGCAAACGCAAGAAACGACGGAACAGCCACATTCGTGTCGTTTGACGTGGCAAGGTGAAGGAGCTCTGGAGCAAGCACAGTTTCCACGCGCTCCGACTGAACCAGGCGCTGAACAGCCTTTAGCGTATGAGAGCCTCCTAGTCACATCGTAAGCTGCGGAATCGTGCAGCGAGTCTCCATCCAGGGAACTACCTCGTCGCAGCTCGGTGATGATGGCACTCGCCATGGTGCCACACAGCGGTGAACTTGGTGGTGTTTGATCGTTTCACCAATCAACGGGGACATTCAAAATCATCTGCCAATCAAACGTCGTCAATCACGTTCTCGGATTTTTATTAGCGGATTTTCAACTCTTTTTTACCAATCAAGACAGACGTAGAATCTGTCAAACGGTGCTGCAGGGCATGAACTCTTGATCTGTTGCCCGAAGGAGTCGCGACCAGCATGATGCCCTGTTCACCATGCATAGCATGTCTGGGTGAGGCATGACAGAGCTACGATTTCCATCTCAAGTTTCTAGATTCACTTCAAAGCATATCCCTAGCAGTACTCGAATAACGAGCCCCTTTCTCGAGGCTTGGACATCCATGCCGTCGCCCGCACGACGAAGCCAAATGTCGCTATTGAATGCGCAACGCCACACCCAACGCGACCTTTCCATCCATAGCCGCAGCTAGAACTTCCCGCTTGCACGAATCATATGCGAGCACGTTGCCTTCGTGGTCTTGTGCGACCAAAAAGAGCTCTTCATTGTCTGGGGGGACATGGTCGTGATCTGTGTTGGTGGCGTCTACGATGGCTGTCGTCGAGGGAATCCCCGTCGTTGCATTTGTTTGAGGGGTCCGTTGGGCTGGCATGGAGCCCTTGTCGGACGTAGCCCCCGTGCTATGTCGGGCACCTTTCTTCACGGAGGCAATGGACGAGAGTCGACGAAGCAGCGACGGCTCTTCGGGCAACCCAAATCGAACGAGATGGCTCGTGAGGAACCACTGGAGCGTGCACAGCGTGCTCACTTGTATCGTCAAGGTCGAGCTGTACTTGCTGTCGACAATGCCAGCATGCTTCATCTCGCACAAGATCGAAGTCGAATTGTACATGAGCTGCCGCGCCAACGAGTTGCGTGCGAGGAGGCGCCACCACCCTCTATTTGACACGTGGTCCAGCAACAGGACCACGACGAGGTTTCCCACCATGAGAAACAGGACCGACGGGAGCCCGCGGAGGTACCAGCTGTGCTCGAATTCGACAAAGAGCGTGTCGAGGTCCTCTGTCGTCGAAGACACGTCGACTCGAATCGAGTTGCCGTGCTCGATAAACGGGGTCCGCAACGCGAGCGCAACAACTGTCAAATAGACCCACCCGGTCGAGCTGAACGTGAGCCACCCCATGAGGAAGTTGGATCCGTTGTACCGGGACGACGCGACCATGTTGCACAGAAACTTGAGCAGCTTCAAGATCGCTAGATTCAGCCACAGCCATCGAAACGCCAACGCCAGCAGGCGCAGCTCCATCCACGTTTCGTACGCGGAGCTGGTATACCACCGCGTCACGACCCGCGCGTACACCATCGCCACGTCTTCGTCCAGGAGGATCGCGATCGAATACAAAAACACAAACACGTCGCTGTTGAAGCAAAAGTACATGAGGTCGAATGCATGGTTCACGTGCCGGTGGACGGGCGGCGCGATGACGTGAATACACCGCTGCTTCCACGTCGTCAACGTCGTCGAGTCGGTCCACCGCGCACTCTTTTGACTTGCCGCGTACGCTGCAAACGCCAGCACCACACACGCAGCCCGAATGTACAGCCCCACGACAGGACCTAACCGCCGCATGAACACCATGGCGAGCGTGTGGACCGACTCGCCGTAGTTGGCCGCGCTGTGGTGCACTGTGACCGCGTTCGTTGTGTCGTCAAACGAATACTCGATCGCACACGTGTCCATTCCGAGCTCGGTGCCGGGATGGCACCCTGAACAAAACGCCTTGCTAAAGAACCGGTACATGGTCACGTTAGTGTGAAAGCGTTGTGACATCGGTGTTCCAGGCAATGGGATCGGGATCGCCGTCGTGAGCCGCATGTCGAGGCTCACGCGGGCGGGAATATACCCCATCGAATCCAGCGTCGACGCGTTCGTGCCAGGGGGGGCCTCAGGCGACGTCGCCGTGTTCCCAAATAGGTGGGTGAACGTGTTTCCCCGAATGAACGACACGTTGTCTTGAAGATTTCCCAAGCGGATAGATCCCACGAGGGCGTTGTGGGGCCGTACTGGGTATGTGTCGACGAGCTGGCCGCAAATGTCGTTAGCGGCGCTCGTGACGACGTAAGACGACATTGTGAGCGCGTAGTACTCGGACCCGGAGTCATGGACTTGCACTAGCGTGGACTCGATCATGAACCGACCGACCATCGAGATGGCCGCCGCGGACGCGAGCTGTGGAAAGGTAAAGTCTCGCTCGAGGTCGTGGATCGAGTGCGTGTTCAGGAGGGGGGTGAAGTGGTGTCTGGCATTCCCGACAAAATCGTTGAGCTCCCAGTTGTTGCCGACAATGTCGACCACGAGCAGGATAGCGCAGGCAAGACCAAGGATTGATATTCCGTACGGCGTCACGATGTGGATGAGGCGGCGGGCGAACGACGACGACGGTGGATCGAGGTACGTCGAGAGCGGAACCACGGGCATCGAGTGGCGAAAGCTCATCGAGTGGTGAAAGCTCATCCCAGTCTGCAAAATCAAAATGACTCCTCGTTGACTGTCGTTATTCCAAGGCCACTGCAGCGGTAGGTATTTTTAGGCGGCGTGCGCTTCGAAGCCCGTTTTACGGCCTTGTACTCATCTGATTTCGCATGCTCATTTCCCCCATGACGACTCCCCCTTTTGAGCGAACCCGTGCACGAGGCATGCTCGAACGGACCGAGAACGACGATGTCCCCCTTGTCAATTGTACCGACTCGATGCCTAAGATATCTTATTGTGACCTTTCTTTTTCAGTCAGAACAGTTTGATTCATCAACTTCTCGCACTTGAGGGCAAAATAGTGGATACATTTTGAAATATCGACGGGGTTGGTCAAAATATCACGAAAATGTCAAAAACGTACGGTACAAACGGACTTGTTTTGAGTGTGTCAGTTGAATTTTGTCTGAAAATCACGATGCAATTTCGCTGACTACTGTATTGTGCCCGACAAACCATGACATCGTAAAGCAACTTGCGATGTCGGTCGAACTATCTTGCTATTTGGTGGCATCCAGACGGACGCTGGGAAAACTGGGGGAGTATCCACGGACTACTTCGAACTGACACAAATCGACCGGATTGTGAATTGTCTTGAATATTTTGAATGGACAGTATACAAAATTCAAGATATCGTGTCGGCCTTAAGACACCTGACCCACTATAGACATTGATTGATATGCGGTATCAAGTACTCCGAGGTACTCACTGAGGTACTCACTGTCAGTAATGTAAATTCAATGTCAACAGTGTGGTTTTGCAAACGTAATATTCCTAGTGGCCTTATCAAGCAAGTTGCCACAAATAAACGGATTAGTTTGTTGCAGCATACAGTGACAACTGAAAACGAACGTGCCAATTTAAGAGGAACGACAAGTAGCCAATTACATTGCATCTAACTTGGCGGCAAAACTTGTACTAGTATATTAAATATATGATGCGATTGAATGCCACTTTCGCGCAATACATGGCTCGTCGCCCAAGAGGCAGATACACGAGCGACGACCTCGAGTCGGCAGTACAAGAGGTCGTGTGAAAGGAGCTCAAGGAGTTGAGGTTCGTATCGTGCAGAGTGCATTCGTGGCGGTCATAGTACTCTCTTCCTTTGGATTTCGGGAATGGTCAAACCAGACTTCCAAAGTAAATAACCTCTACAAACCATATACTCAACGGCTGACATTGGATACCATTCCCTCGCAAAAACTATACAGTGTCCAATATTTTGTTGAAGATCACGACAATATTCTCATGAAGTGGCACACAAAAATGTTTCTAATTTTTTTGAAAAATCGCATGTCAACATATCGTGGCTAGGATGAAATTCGACACCCCCCCGCTGCGAGGCACTATTCAGAAATTCAAAACGACGCCATCGAGCTGAGGTATGGAAATTTCACGCTGGTGTCTCCATCTTGAAATTGGCATTTTACGCAGCTAGTACTTGCCACAGGGGATATTACACTGACCCATGGAGAATAGGCACGTCGTCCTTCCTAACGTCGTTGGGCTCGAGGAATACCTTTCATGCCACTGGGACCAGAGCAATTACAATCCCTGCGGATCGCTTTGTCACGATGTCCTGCATGAGTACATCACACTCGTTGAATTCTCCTCCGTTCTTGCCGCACGAAGGGCCATTGATGCAACCTTTTTGAACGCGGACATCAAGTCAAAGTTGCAGTATATACACACGAGGAACCATTGCAGCATACCACAGCACAGCCGTTGAGACATCGCTGAACGGTCGCATCGGTTGCATTCGGTTACGCCGTGTGCACTAAACTGTCGGATTTATCAAACGATGGGGACGGTTTACACTCGGCATTCGCAAAGCGACTTGGTGTCGGCTTCAAGGACCGCCTGGGGCCATGGATGTGTTCTTAGCATCGTTTCATGTAAACGATACGTGTTTTGTGTCGACGTTCTATCGAGCCGAAAGATCTGGTAGTTCTGGGGCAGGGGATTGTCCTACTTGACTGATGGAAATCAAAGCAGTGCGGCGGAACCGTCGACGTGCATCCATGTTGACCCATGCCGTTCATTGGGTCAAAGCGCGCATCGTTCCACCTCACCGTCCCGTTCCTACGGCTACAAGTGAGCAGAAAGATCATCGGCTTGCATCGTAAGCGCCACTGCCGACCTTGCAGCATCTGTGAGGGGGGGAGTTGCTGGCGCATTCGTACCATCTTACTTGTAGCCTCTATTTTTGTCGTCAGAGCACACCGTTCATTGTTCAACGACGAGTCATCTAAGTCATTCAAAATCCAGGTAGTCAACAAATGACGAGTTGATCGCATTCTCTTGCGCGTTAGCAAACGCACGTGCAAGCTTGAGCGGGGTGCGATACAAGATATGTGGCCGACATCTTTGGCCGCAATTGCCAATCCATTGCTCGGATCGCATGCCCCCGAGGAGTAGTGCAGGGTGCACACGTCGACGTGGATGGCACGCTTCCAAAACAACTGCCAAGTTAAGATGTCGCCAACTGCAATAATCATGTTGGATCGACCCGTAAGTCGGACAAGGCTCGACAGATGAGCTGTCCTGTGAGGTATGTCGTCGATTCAATTTGTTTTTGGCACACCGTCCAAAGTTGTGAGGTTGACTCACCGAGTGATTTGTACAGCAAACTTGTCTGCTCAAATCCAGTCACAGCGATGGGCACCTCAACGTGCTTGGTCTTAACGAAAGACAACCCCACCATGCCGACGCAAACACATGAGAAAAAGAAAACGTGCACCGACACAGCCAGTCATAGCATTTCACACTGCGTATATTCAAGTACAGTGCCTCGGCAATTCTTGCACGCTTCCTGCGTGACGACGACGTCCTTGCCACGATACACACAACGACCCCCAAAACGACTGGAACGCGAAACTTATCGCAGCGTATGTGGCAGCGTGGACGTGGTGTCGAGCGATTCGAAACAAACCGTGTTGCCGTTCATCGTGCCAGAGCTCCAACACTGCCGGGCTGAAAGCATGCCATTGGGTCAAAGCGCCCATGGTCGAGGCATCGTTCCACCTCACCGTCCCGTTCCTACGGCTACAAGCGCACAGAATGGTCATCGGCTTGCATCGTAAGCGCCACTGCCGACCTTGCAGCATCCGTGATGGGGGGCAATTGCTGACGCATTCGTACCATCTTACTTGTAGCCTCTATTTTTGTCGTCACAGTACACCGTTCATTGTTTAACGACGAGTCGTCTAAGTCTTTCAAAATCCAGGTAGTCAACAAACGACGAGTTGATCGCATTCTCAAGCGCGTTAGCAAACGCACGTGCAAGCTTGAGCGGGATGCGATACAAGATATATGGCCGACATCTTTGGCCGCAATTGCCAATCCATTGCTCGGAACGCATGCCCCCGAGGAGTAGTGCAGGGTGCACACGTCGACGTGGATGGCACGCTTCCAAAACAACTGCCAAGTTAAGATGTCGCCAACTGCAATAATCATGTTGGATCGACCCGTAAGTCGGACAAGGC